CCCCCTCCCTTTCCCTCTCCTTTCTGTCCCCCCGCAGGCAGGACAAGCTGAAGGTCCACATGCGGAAGCACACGGGGGAGAAGCCCTACCTGTGCCAGCAGTGCGGCGCCGCCTTCGCTCACAACTACGACTTGAAGAACCACATGCGCGTCCACACCGGGCTGCGGCCCTACCAGTGCGACAGCTGCTTCAAGACTTTCGTCCGCTCCGACCACTTGCACAGGCACCTTAAAAAAGATGGATGCAACGGGATTCCATCCAGGAGAGGTCGGAAACCCCGGGTGAGGGATGCCGGGGGTTTGGCCAGTACCCCTACGGGGAACCCCGAAGATGGAAGTTATCAAGCTGGTGGGGAGAGTCAAGAATCGGAGGACATCAAGCCGGTGGTGAGAATCAAGAAGGAGAGGGACGACGAGGAGGAGCAGCAGCACTTTGAGGAGAATTCAAATAATGAAGCATCAGGATTGAATGTAGCAGGAGGGTCGGCTGAGGGTAACACGCAAGGACTCTCCTAAACCAAAAAAAAAAAAAACAAACAAAAAAAAAAAAAAAAAAAAAAAAAAAAAAAAAAAAAAGGGTGGGAAGGTGGGAGAGAAGAGGCATCAACCCCTTTTTTTAAAAAAAAAACAGAAAAAAAAACCAGAAAAAAAAAAAAAGAAATATATATATATTATGTTTCCAATCTTCCCATCGTAAGCAGGGCTCCCCCAAGGATCCCTCAGTAGCCAAGGACCTTTTTTTGGGAAAGGCAGCCGCTAGGAAGCGCGGGGTGGGGATGGAAAGTGGCTCTGTCACATGGAAAAGAGCTTCCATGTAAATCCAAAGCTTTATTTTGTGTCCAAACACACGTTAAAAAAAAAAAAAAATACACAAAATTACTTATTTCAGAGAGAGAGATCTATTTAAGGAAAAAAAAAATACAAAAAAAAGCAAAAATAGAGGAAAAAAAAATAAAAGGGGTAGGAGCGGAAGGGCTCTGTCCAGGCGGGCGGTACACGGTGCCTCGGAGG